TATAGTTAGTTGCCTGTGTTTTCTTTTATATTCCGATCAGGACTGTTTTCAAGGATACACATTTTCCATCAATAGGTTGTATTATCATTGGCGCTGCACGGACTTTCCGTGTTTCCGCATTTCAATAGCCAGGATAACACGACCTATGCCGGATTATCCATTCATAACGCAATCATCCAAAATCTCGCATTCTCTCCTTCTTTTTTCAATCCATCCTAAAATATGTTCATGTAATATTTCTTTGTTCTCGCCGACTCCTTGAAAGCACCGAGAATTGAATGACAACAATAAAATGAAGAACTGTAAGTCTTAAGAACAAAAGAAAGAGCAAAGTATTAAATATTATATTATTAATACTAAAACACAATTATAACTGACAAGGTACGATGATGAATACATTATAAATTTAGGTTACAATGGCAAGGTTGTTCAAAACTCTCTCACAATACACAGACTATGTCAGACCTAAAATTTATATATAATATTAGAATGGACGTGGCGTGATGTATGTGTATGGCAACCAACCGTAACTGTGATACAGCGGCTATAGAATTGTTTATCTCGCTGCAGAAAAGGGTTAACCTTATTGACAACTGTTACAGCTGATTCTGATTAACTGTTCAACTGATGATTTAATTTTCACAATTTATCCGAACCTCACCCCCCCAAATGATAATTATATTCATATCCTCGTTCGCGTACACATTTTGAAGAAGAACAAAATCGTTCAGTATCTCTTAATATATCTTCAGTATCTCTCAATATATCTCTCAATTGGTCACTGTTTGCTGATGATCTTATATATTTGATTTTGTTATGCGCTCTTGACGTGTTTAATAAAATCGCAATATAAGTGAATTAATTACTATCAGTATTACTTGGTTTTACCATTATAGAATCTTACAAACACTACACATGATATACCTCAATCTCCCTGGCCGATCTCTGAACGACTGCCTCCAATGCAAGGAGTATTATTTGATATTTTGGTCACCCACCGGTCTTTATTTGGTAATACAACTGGTTCAAAAACATCGGATTTCGATTCGTTGCTCAATAAACTAGAAGACAGTATTTTAAATCACAGACGCTTCACACATACATATGACTTTCAATCACTCAATGACACTCGGTCATTCTAACTATTAAACTTATTATCTAAAACTAGAAAACTCAACGTGTTTGTGTGTGGTAATCTATTTGCAGTATTACGTGTGTAGACGTAACCGGTATGAGACAGGTGTATCGACATGTGAAAAACAGAGATGTATAAACAGTAACTGCTTTTACCCAATGCGATAAGCGAGAACATTGTATGTATTTTTTTTATTAATTTTAATCTTGTTAATTTAATTTATTAATGTATATATTACATGTATGTTTCATGCAGGACGCCATTGGAAATCATATAACTCCTTTTGGAGGGAAATGAATGGATTATCCTGGTTAAATGTAGTGGAATAAATAAATAAAAGAAATACAACTTTTCGTATAATAAATATCACAATAGGGTTGCTATAATTAATAAAACACGCAAAGATTGAAAACAACTGAACATCGCTGAAGCAACGTGCGCGCGGTCCTCTATCGCATCGCATCGAAGTGCTGATACATTTAACGATCGTAGAATTCAGAATTGAGAAAGAAACATTTTGTGGTATTTCTGATTTCCTGCGCTGAATATTTAAAATCTAATATCATATCGACACACTATCATTTCTCATAAATTGTAAACCCAAGGCGACGTCCATTAAAAACTCTTTCTCAATACATTTTATTGGTAAGCGTAAACGACATGTTTACATTTACTGTCGTAATTATGTTACTTGGAGTTCCTCCACATTTTATGGATGATCTCAATCGTGAATGCGGCATTTCAAATTCAAGGGCAGTCCAGTCGGAGGTCAGCTTATATGCTTTGAAGATATACATGCCGACATTTGGAGGGAAAGTTGACCTAATTACAACGTCTTGTGTTTATACTACTCGACGATTGCCAAAATACCTGAATGCGTTGCAGTGAACTTGGTTTGTATACGTGAGTAATATAGGCCGTGCTTATGTACAACATTCGTACTATACAAACTGTGTTTGCTTGTATGTACAACATTCGTACTATACAAACTGTGTTTGCTTGTATGTACAACATTCGTACTATACAAACTGTGTTTGCTTGTATGTACAACATTCGTAATACGATCTGTGTTTGGTTGTATGTACAACATTCGTAATACAAACTGTGTTTGGTTGTATGTACAATATTCGTAATACGAACTGTGTTTGATTGTATGTACAACATTCGTAATACGAACTGTGTTTGGTTGTATGTACAACATTCGTAATACGAACTGTGTTTGGTTGTATGTACAACATTCGTACTATACGAACTGTGTTTGGTTGTATGTACAACATTAGTAATACGAACAGAACTGTGTTTGGTTGTATGTACAACATTAGTAATACGAACTGTGTTTGGTTGTATGCACAACATTCGTACTATACAAACTGTGTTTGCTTGTATGTACAACATTCGTAATACGATCTGTGTTTGGTTGTATGTACAACATTCGTAATACGAACACAAGGACACAATCTGGGAAATCAAATTTGTCAAAACCAACCATTCGAAAAACAAATAAAAAAACAAACAAACACTCTTAAAATAAATTTAAAAGAAAAACCCACCCTTTAATAAATATAGATTAGTTTACACAGCGAAAGGAGACGCATTGACTATTGAAAGTGTCAAAAAAGAGTTCCCCTGTCCATTTTTGAAACAAAACTCATAGACTCATTGGATACCTCGCATACACGTTGGTAGGTTTATACTAGTGACTTAGCTAGTTTGTACAGCATTCGTAACACATACACATGTGTATATACAATATTTTTAATAAAAGGCATATATATATAAGTATATGGCTTTATGTATAAAACTTGTAACAGGGTCCAAGCGTGCTTCCCATGTACGACATTGCTGACACGACCCATGCATCATTTATATGGACGACATTCATAATATTATTTTGCTTGGTTCATAAGTATGATATTCTTAAACAAAAGCTGTGTATAGAATTACTCCAAATAACTGTATATCATTGATGTTACATAGTACGCGTGGTCTTGTACACATGGCTATATAACATAAATCCACTGTATGTTGAATAGAACCCCCTGTTCAATATAAACTCACGTACTCCTAGTTACTAATTAAATTATTTAATTAATTAATTTTTTTCGTATGAAAAAAAACACATTTCGCATATCTCGCCGATTCATATAACTTTTACACGTTGATTCAAACACAACTTTCTTCTTGTTGTATGCGTGAAATTCGACCTCCGTGATAGTGAAATGAGTTATTGCTGACAAAAGGTGAAAGGGTAAATACACATATCGTATTTCACAAACAGACAGTAATGTACGTCAGACTGCGTATAATCAGGAAGTTGGCACTTAACTCACCGTAATAGCAATCGTCGGGGACTTACGCTACACCGACGCAGAGTCACAGGTCATATAAACTACTCATCCTCACTACAGAAAGCGTTTGCTTGCGTAAACTTTGCTTTGTCGAAGTTCAACGAATTTAGACATTGGCGGAAGCCAATTCAAGCGGGGCGTTGGAAACATTGGGGCACCGGTCAATTGAACCAGTCGTCATTAATGTAGCGGCCACTGATTCTGTAATGATACTGTTTTGTGAAGTTCCAGTAAATTTATGGGAAAGAATGTTAAAACCATGAGTTGAAAGTGTGATCGTATTTCGACAATTTGAAAAATGTTTTTGTGCGACTTTTCAGAGCTGCGCATTGTTCTTGGCGATTTCCGGCGGCCTTCTTTCAACTGCTTTGTTGTATTTGTTAGAAAAACCACATTAATAATTTTATTGATATTATTACTTCATTGTTGACGAAATAACAAAAAAAACATATGATTCAATCCACGGGATATTGGAAAATGAAAAGGAAGGAAGGAAAGAAAGCAACCCATGGGAAACTCATTGAATAGCAATAGCAGTATAATAGCTAACGGACTTTAAACCGCATGTCAGATTTAAAACACACTTCACAATTATTCGTATTGTTATTCCCAGGTCAATGACACGTCTTTAACTACCGCGTGAATGAAGGGGTTGTTCAATAAACCGTCCCCTGTCCCTATATGACCGCGGACAATAAACAACGTCACTATTTTAACCTAGCGTCATCTCACGATGACACAAGACCGCACAGACATATAATTGTGTGACTCAGTACAGAAAACGATATCTGAGAATTTGTGAAATTATATTACGTGGCGATATATGCTGTAAATCGAAGAAAATGTAAACATAGAATTAAAACAAATACTATGATATGAGAACAACACGACGTTCTTCGCTAAGTAAAATACTAGTATACATATATGAATACGTGTTAATATCATGTTTCTTGTCAAATGTAATACATACACGTACGTACAGCGTAATAGAACAAACAAAACACACCCGGCAACTGCTACCCGTATTACGCAGTTGGTTCACATCTACCCCGTCAGTCACCCTTAACTTCTCACGAAAGTGTTGTTAAGAGGATAACTCTTACATATCAAACAATATCAATTTACTGAACTGCTCAATACACGGCAGTAATGTGTTTAGAATTCTGAATCAGTTTAATTTGGCGTGAACAGAATGACGAAAACAACCTACAAATTCCAATACGCCAAACTGTTTGCTTAGAGGTCAAAGTGGACGCGAACAAGTCCGTATACTAGTTCTCTACGGCTTTATTTTTTACGCATTCCGATGGGCTTGTACGCTGGGATTGCTCGTCAACGAATAGAGAAGCATGGCATTCCGGTTAATTACCCCATATCGTGGCCCCACCACAGCACATATCATCGCCGCTTCCTGCGCATTCGCCCCGTAAAAGGCAAGAGTGTGGGCGTGTACTTCCGAGTTGAGATCGTGCTGTGTTTTCGCAGAACGTTTTTATTTCTCTTATCTATAATTGGACGGTAGTTCCCGCGTAAAACTGCAGCCACTGACGTACATTGCGGATTGGTGAAATACTCTAAACAACTTCGTGGCCAATCATGATGAGACGGTATAAAAGAACACTAGTAACACGTTTATGTTTCAAACACTCTTAGAAGGCGAGAAACCAGTACGACGCTGCATTAGCAATACTCAGGGCTTTATACAGGACTGGAAAAACTTAGATTACAAAGAGAGAGATTTTTGTTTTGTTTTTGGAACGTGAGAAGATCGAATCTGGTACATGTTCAGCAAGGTAAGTAACTTTATAGGGAATACTGGACCCCGAGCACTGAAGTACCGCCGTTGGTTATATCTCCAAATGGAACAAGCGGCGACGATAGTAAAGAAAACACACCACACACACGGACACACGGTGTCTTGTCAGAAGAACTCCTAAATATTAACTTCTTGTATTTATTCAACCCAACTAACGCGTATTTGATACGGCGTCTAAAAATGTACTCGTAGGTGAAGTCGCAAAAATCCACCTCGGACGAAACAAAAAACGACGTTCGTATCGAGATTCTTCTCAGTAACACACTGCAGTGATGCCGAGACTGTACTGTTTGCTTATACTCTCGTAGTCCAAGTTCCCAGCTCTCCGTTGATACGATACGCTAACATCAATCGAAACAGGATTTGCAAGAAATAACAAATTTGGTTTTCTACAATTTTTTTTCTGTATAAAGTAATTGTCGAGTGTAAGGTTTAAGGAGCTGACGTCCACGCTACTCGTCTACTACACGTCGGACGTGCATTGATAGTACGCTATACTTTTACACTATGTACTTATGTCTATTTGGTTACAAACTATAATACTAGACTAAACAGTGCGACGAAGTTTAACGATTGCATATAAATATAAACGTCATTTACTACGACATTGTTACTCGGTGGGCGAGAATTTTACTGGTTCGGCCGTAAATCTGTTTTTTGTTGTTGTTCACATTTTGTTACAAAACATTTTGTTTGTTGTTGGCCAAGGAAAGCTTAAACCAAATCGAAATGAACTGTTACAGTAAAATAAGTTTATGGTGGTAAGTTAATATTTTTGAGCCACGTTATTTTTTCAAAACGATCCTGGACAATGATGCCATTTTTCTTAAATCGCACAATTCAATTCTTAATTCAAAATATAGCAATAAATACATTTATACCCACTTTTCATTGTGCAATCAATAACTTGATATTTTAAAATAGCGTTGTTTCTTAACCAACTTTGTCGCGCACACGCAGAAAGCTTTATCTGACTTCGAGTCGTCTTGCTGGACGCCGCAGATAATTATTAAAACCAAATTTGTGATAATATAAGATATTTCAGCATATTCGGGAGCGCGCTAATGTTGACCAGGGATAAGACATGCAGTTGCGTTATACCCAGTACATTGAACTTTTTGTCGATGAACGCTCTATTTTTTCTGGTTACAGATCCAAATGATGGCGAAAAACTATAAAATATCATCAACATTGACTTTGCTCCTATATTGCCTAGTGCCCATGGCAACAGGATGTGGCAGGATAAAAGAAAAAACTATGGTGAGTCCGGGAGATGAAATATACGTGTCACTTTTGCTCCAGCCGAATACGGAATCAGAGGATTTGTCAAAAGCTGACGATTCGGCTTACATACACCAACCAAATACGGAATCAGAAGATGCATCAAAGAATACAGAATCAGTTTACATTCCACCCAAACCACTTCATTTTATGAAAAATAAAAGGTAAGGCGCCTTTATAATATCACTGAAACTGGACTGAACCGGATTTAGAAAATACATTCGTGCGAGTAGCTTTATGGAAATCATTTAAAATACAGTCTACGGATGTGCGGGGGGGGGGGGTGTACTCAAACTATGTATAAAACAGTGCATATCATTGTGGGAAATCTGCACTAAAAGTCCAATTTTCAATGTTTTAGCGCGCCTGGGAGTTGGACGTTTTCGATTGTCTGTTGGAACTTCGTTTTCACACTTCTTCAAATGTTGTTCTGAAAATCATGGATTCACAAAGATCCGCCCGCGTTCCGAATCATGATCCAAGATTGCTTAAATATGAGCCCGAAAAATCGTTCTTGTTCATCGTATCAAATAGTTCACATGAAAAAGGTCTTAATGCTCCTCAATGAAGTCTTACGGTCTTTCTCCAAATTTCGAATTTGCTCGTTAATACTTTGTATTGACGTAATAGTTAGAGACATCTTACTGTTAATGTTTAAATGTTCTATGCTTGCGGGCGCTATTTGTCTACGCTTGCATTACGTAACTCTTTCACACTAATCTGCCGTTTGAAGGTATCGACGTTACATCGACCCAGTATCAGATATATCACCTGAAGCAATGGACCAACCGTACTTGAAGATTTTTCAGAAAACTGACAGCAACTCGGACGGATACATTACTGTGGATGAATACTTAGAAAACAATCCCAACATGACGAATGATGACACTCGAATTGTGATGGAGGTCTATGACAAGAACAGAGATAGCAGAGTGTCTCAAGCAGAATTCCTGCGAGAAGGGAAACCAGGTAGGTGTACGATACTAATAGTGACAATTACTGACGTATCTGGAGATCGTCATTTGATACGGTTGTGACACGTGACCAACTCGATGACCTATGTGCTAACCCCATAATAAAAACCTTTGCTACCCCGTGTCGAAGTAGAACGCCTTTTCGATAAACGTTTCTTTTTATACAAAATAGCCGCAAGACCTTGGTTTCTTTGTCCATGTAATTGGTGTAGATACAGGAGGGGCTTTTATAACGATCATTTATGAACAACACATATTGAACATCAAGGCTATGACGTAAAAGCCTAAACGGATGTGGTCAGTTTAAGGAGATACAACAAAATAACAAACAGTCCTCTGATACACTAAGGTCATTGCGTGTTATTAATAATTTGATCCACTTTTAATCCATGGTCCAGCGTACGTGCATATAGTAGAACGCCAACGAGGTTTTCATACTTTAAAATCTCTTACATTTCAATTGATCCATTGCCCACTTTTATCAGTGCGTGGCGTCCATTTTCTATATTTGCATTGGAAGTGCGCCCTCTGCTTCTACAAATGACTATCTCTCGGAATACCACAGCCTCGGCTTTTTGGGGGGTCATTTGGCTAGAGATCACCGAATTGATGAAGGGTGCCACGATGCCCCAGTGTGGTTGGATATGTTACCTTTCGTTTAATGCTATCTGCATATCTAAATTTGTACTGTATATTTACTCTGCGTACATTTGATATACAATGTGATATACATCGGTTTCTCTGACGATTTTGATGTGACTTGTTATAGACCGATGCTGAGATAGTCTCTGAATCCATACTGCACTATACTGCATGTGTTCACGTAAATCTACAGTGACGTCACGATGATACGTCGACAAATGTTCAAAATATAACGTCCCAGGGACCTGAACTGTTTACAAACATGTTTTTCATTGGGGCCAAAACACAGCTTCAACATTTACATCGGTGAGCTGTGTGATTTGTGGTGATGGCGGTGATGATGAATTTGCCGTCATAAAAAGCCATGGAACCGATAGATATTATAGATCAGGGTTTGAGACATCTTTGTAAACAATGCGATGACGTCAATTTTACAATAAGTTGGCGATTTTAATAACAATTTATGATTTCAACTTCTATTCTATGCACGTTCGGTGGTTTTCAACGCAAAAAGATTTCTGTGTGACTCCATGGATAGCTTGATCTATAAATGCAACTGCGTATCACTTACTCTGACTTATTTTCTCTCTTTCTTTCTTCATTTCACTGCTTGGCTTCGCCGCTACTGCTGCTGACACTCACTCTGTAACGCACAATTTACTATTTGAATTGTCATGACAACGTAGCATTCTTTGATAATTTTGAAGAGTCACGTACAGAGGCCTGTGACGTCATGGCACTGCATCAATGCGGCATGGATTTCATCAATATTGTACAACTAGCACGTGACGACAATGAGGCTGTATGTATTGGTCTTCAGGTGAGTCAGTGTTGCTATGGAAACGGAGGACTTTAATTCACGAAATACACAACTAAGAGAAATTAAGAGAGCAGTGGGAGCCAATAAAGCTGTTCATCGTTTGGAAATATGTCGCCATTAATATATATTTGTAAAGTTACCATACATTTCAGAAAGCTATGAATGATTTTATGACCCTTTAACGTACATTCAAATCAGGAAAGAGGAAACGTTTTTCATTGGCTAGAACCACTTTTTGGTAACGCTAGACGGAAACATGCCAGCAATTTGATTCAAAACGCTCCAATTAACTTGAGGTGTTCGCATATACTATATTTCGAATAGTACCAATATACCTATCACTACAATTTTCCAATTTAAATTGTTGAGCATATTCATTTTCAGGCAGCAGGTTCATGATAGGTCAAATCTCAGACTAGTAATCACATTGCTCGTTGTTGAATTCAATACATTGTGATGGTTCAAGCTCGGTAAATTAAGAAAAAAACCGGGTTTATTTGTTCTTCAAAGGCGATGCTAAACGATGTCATATGAATTGCGTTACAGTCTTATTTTGATTTGATTTTTTTTCTCTAAAATTCCCGCAAAACAAAACAAAACGGACACATACCAGGAACATGAATATTTTTTCTGGTCCTGGGAATAACAATAACAATTGTTGGCGGAGTGGCAGTGTAAGTTAGTGCCCTCATTTGTCAATCACGTCTACATTCGCGGTTTGAGCCGATAGAGGGCACATATCAGTGCAGCTGTGGACACAAAACAAACCTGCAAATAACTGAAATTTGTCATAGTTTGTCTCACGAGACATGAATGTTACACAGCAGTTAACAGACTACTCTTGGTATGTATCTTCAAGGTACGTACCACACAGTGGAGTAGACAATGAATAACAAGAATATTAATTTACTTCACAGACCTACGTAAACTGTGTCTCTTGGCAACTTGGCACGAGCGCTTGCACCTCTAACAGTTTCAACGGCGCTGTCATGGAGATAGTGACGTCATTCAAGAAAGTCAATATCTGCCCATTGGTGGATAGTATCGGTCTGCAGTTACTTATACAGGAAACTAATCGAGAACGACGGGCTGGTAAGACCATTGTTTATTATCACCGAAAATCCCAATTACAATACATGATCGACATTATTAAATGATATAGTAATTTCAATACAAACAAGAACAAGTTGATAAAGGTTAACACGACACAAGGAAAGTAAAGTTAGAAAACTAATAGAATATCGAATACAGTAAACATGTTAAACATTTCTGACGCAGCATGTCACCAACAACTCAATATATGACAGCACTCTCTGTATTTTTTACCAGAAATTTTATTAAAGCGAGGGAGTCGTCACCTGCGCATGCGTCAAATGACCATAGCGTGTCATTATTTACAAACAAGCGTCTACCAATGAGCCTTTGCGTTTTTTTGCGTGTATGGTTATCGTCGGTTGGGACTCGATTCCCGCGCGTACACAGATTGCCACCCTGCCACTTTAACACAATCTTACCCTTATTCTGGCCAGTTAACCGCATAAATTAGGGTTCGCCGAGTTCTTTCAAGGGACGCGAATTTCGATGTTGTGGCAATTTAAAATCACGTGATCGCATTTGTTATGAACTATGGTGACCCCAAAGCGCAATGTATTTGTACGATTTTGCATTTTTCTGACGTTCGGGCTATTTTTTGATATAAGCGAATAAAAAAATATTCAACCTATTCATCTCAATTCCCCATTTTTCAAATCCATTTCTATAATCATAGATAAAAAACTACGATGCGCTTTATAAAGTAGTGTAACACTGAACCGATAACGTAGACGTAGACTGGGGGATAATATCCTTGAACACTTTGCAGAAATGTCTCCAATGAGCGGAACTATATTTCAATGACTCGAGGGGTCCCCACAAGCAGTCACGATCATTTTGACAAGTGTGCTTTCGAAGATAATAACGTATTCATTCTGTTGTGTATTCCCATCAGTGACGTCAGATGAAAAGCAGCTCTCCGCTGACTGTAACACATCAGATGTTATGGATTGTGACGTAGAATTTATCCGTAAGCTGAAAGAAAACGAAGATCCATGTGACTCCCTATTTGCATACAGGAGATGCATCCATCGAAGTACTCGCAAATGCCATGACGCTGTTTCTTACAAGGTACGAGAAGGTATTAAGCACATCACAAGGGCCTATCGCAATGCAAGACTGTGTACGGGAGAATGAACAACAGACTGTATTCGTTGACGTATACATTTCCTCTATACTGTACACATTTTGTACAATGTATTTGAGATGGCTTGAAGAGACAGCAAACAAGAGGCTGATACCATCTTTCCTGTCTTAAGAAAGGTCGATAACAGTGGCCGTAGTCAAGTGTCCGATATCGCCACAGATATTGTTAAGGCCGAACTTTGGCTGGACTGATACGACTCTGGAAAACGCGAACTCTACACACATTTTTATTACATTCTATCACAATGTATGAAAATCTTCCTGCTCGAAAACACACAGGGCTATTTGTTCAGAGCATTTGCATACACTGCACTTAGTAATTAAGAGCTGAGATTCATTCGAATCAGATTTTTTTTCTTAATTCTTCTGATAAAACAAGATCAAAAATTAAAAAAAACCCATCAACTCACTAGCTGTTATTAAGTCATCCCACATACTTCGTGGTTTAGCAAACGGTCTATCCATCAATGCTTTTATCGGCATTGTGTGAAAACACGAATTTCTGCTCCAACATTGAATAATTCTACGCATGCTCAGTTTAAGAACCTCACTTATATCGATACAGTACTTGGCACCTTTTTTCACAGTTTACCATTTACTCATAAGCTCCATAAAACAGTGTTATCAATTATTAGCCGTGATTATTTTAATTATTTCTTTGTCAAATGAAGATGTATTGTATTTGTGTATTTTTTGTAATGTTGTTTGATAATAATATTATTTATTGCTTGGAACGTTTCAGTGTGAATGTCCGTGTCTGGAATGTCTGATATCACTTAAATTCCCTGTCGCCCCGTGCATCCGTCAATCATTAGAAGTGAGGGTATGTTTGAATGTAGCTTAAGTTAACATTTCCGATTCTTATAACACAATTGTGGATAATCCGTAGCCTTAGTCCAACGATTCATCACAAAAAGAAAATGATCACATTTGGCGATATCAATGAATTAGTCCCGGAAGATGGATCTTATCTTATGTGGCGCCACAACTAGTAGTTCATGGACATGTATTGAAATTCGTCTGATAATTATGAATATGTTATCGTGAGAAATCGCAGTTTCCATTAATCATATTATCCCCGATATACAACTAGCACGTCGTACCTTGCGTTTAAACCCTATGTGTTCTGAATTCGTTTTAACATGAAATAGGACTAATACACACTATCGTAAACAACGCCCGATGACTGTGGTAATGAAATGGGAATATTTACTTTGATCGCAGGCAACAAACTAATACATAGTCGACATCGATATTACGCTCTTGTTATTTTCGTTTGTAATTTCAGCTAACATGCTATCCTGTAGCTGGCATGCTTGATAAACAATTAGAATATTCACAGTCATATAAAATCAATCTTGAGAACAACTTACCATAAACAATCTGAACCTGGTTGCATGAAACAATATTTACTTACTTTAATCAATTAATTAACAAATATCGGTCGGTCATGTGACTTTGACATCCTTAAATATTTTAAATAATCCCATCACAAATCCCACACATACATACATCGGGCCTCTTAACGTGCCCGCCATATTTGCAAATACGCTCTCAAAATGCGGATTCTTCTTCTGTTCAGCGATTACAAATTCACACATAGATATATATCGGATGTATAAATGAATTTATGCTTAATTTCAGTGACTTGGGAGGTTTAATAGAAAGGGTCAGATTACTAAGTTACGTTGATTACCTTGGCAGATATTGGTTATCACCACTTCGCCAAAAAACTTGTCGTTCTTTATTAATCGCTCAGAGGAGTATAAGAAATGACAAATAATTAATGCATACACAGTTTCACATTACTCGTACATTTCAATATTGAATTTAATAATTAACCAGGCATTTGTGATAGTAACTTGCAGCAAGTACAAACCGTTAAGTCTCACTAGAACACAACTTGATGTGTTGCTTAATGTTTTGGCTACGCCATGCCGGACGTTGATTGGCTAGAATTGAGCGTCATTTGTAGCTCATTGGCCCGTCATCGCGACATACAGTAACATAATAATAGAATTTTCCTTGACATCCGGTATCTGGCAAGGCATAGGTTAATAAAATATTTCCGATCGCAAATAATGTCATTGACCCGGAAGGTTGGCACCAATCTCAAAACTACAAGAATAGAAGAGAAACCTACATATACTTTAATCGCATTCTGGTATGTAACTTTTTTTAATAATACTGTGGTGACATCACGTGACCGCTTTCTGACCATTCAACACGGGGGATTTCAAACACGAGGTATGAATATGTGATTTGTTCCATTCCAGGTGACCGGTTCACTTCCAATTATCATGGCGAACTAGATTCTGACAAATGTCGATTTTCTTTCTTTCATTCGTTTCACAGCTCATTTTTATAAACATACCTGATCATTTGTTAATATGTTTGGGTTTGAGGTCGATTAAGACCGAGGATTAGACTTGATATAACAGGAAATGACCCGCTGTGTCACTCATACGGGTATGCTTTTACTGTCATTTATACTAATACTATGATTGTACATTATAGATGACACTATTCAATGTATTAAAACAATTAATCTGGCTGCCTAACACAGAAAATAACACAATTCAGTAGTGTAATCATAGTGAATGGCCACCTAGTTTTAATTGTTTCATCAACATGACTGTACAATACACCCCAAATCACCTCAAAACAACATAATACGCAATGGCGATACATAACGCAACGCAACATGACGCAACGCAACACAACACAGCGCAGCACAATTCAAAGCAAAGATTAATCATATCTCAGAATATGCTGAAACGTAACATGTGCCGAAACATCAACGTAGTATGTGTAAATAACGGCACCATGGAATTGAACTACCAGACTACTAGTTAAAACTACAACTATCACAATATGTTAATAATTTCACTGGTTTCGTTAAACAAATCTAAGCCTGTGGACAATCGTACTTGCACCTGTTCTATCCGAAATAAGTAGATTGAAAATCGCCAAAGCGCAAAGTATATATATACATAAACACAACACAGTGAATTGAAACATTATACTTGGTACAGGTAAACCCCGGAGTTTCAATCAGCAGATGAAGCCATGTGTCGTGAGTAGTAGTGTAGTATATCATATGCGTTACCAAGCAACGGAACTTAGGATGAATATAACCTAACAACTGTCCGTATCGCCTCAATGGTTTAAATACACATTCATTTGTAGGTAATTGTTTGCACTTATGTGCCATATACTACACTATCATCATACATTATGTATATACACTGATGATTATATGTAAATACCTATTGCAATTATATAATTACATTCAACATGCTATATATCTCCCATCCTGCATTCCAGTTACTAGTATATAAGATTCTCCAGCTTGTTTTTATTTTTTATTTTATTAAGCTAGAGCCAAAAGGTAAATAAAACTAATTTCAGGCTCGTGCAATAAAATATTTCACAAATAATACAGTTATCACATATACAAAATCACAATTAGCAAAAAGCATTACTTTTTGAAATAAACCACTACATTGTTTTTAAAACTATTAAAATTGATGAAAATATCAGCTGTGTCATTTTTTGACATTGTATTAAAAAGAGAAAGTACACGAGGAAAGTATGAACATTTTCTGACATTTACTCGACATATTGGGACGTGGATAAGCGAGGGCAACCCTATAGAACGAGGTGCAACTTGTAAAGGGATTTCCGATAACAATTTTTACATACAAATTTGATAAATTTCTTTCGAAATCGTTCACTGATCATTAACTGACATTCGCTTAACATATCTAACGTTTGTGAAACGTATAAATATTTTAAGGTGAAGTTAGTGCTCTCAATCATTCCTAATCCCCTGTTTATTGTACATTGCGCACGTTTCTCTGATGTCCTGCTAATTCTCACCAGTCGTGACAAGGATGTAGACTGCGCATGAAAATAATAAACACGTAAAAGATGCATTTATAACGAACCCTATTTTTTAAATAAAGTTATTCAATACTGCACAATGTACAACAAGTCTGATTATGATTTTGATTTTGCAGGACACACAACGGTATGCGTTACACGAAAACATGAGATTAATACGCATGCGCAGTGATTGTGATTGTACGCATCAAAACAACCTGTGCACATTGCGAGAGAATATCATCGAGTTATCTAACTAATACTAATACATGTGTAGATACTTTAGGTCATGATAACTCATAGTCTAATGTAATCATTATAAATGTTTTCTTCCATATTTGCATCGTTAAATGATCAAGTCACCTCCCAAAATCAGAAGATGTGACAGTGCAGTCCCATTTTCAGTAATTTATGTTTTTGGTGTTACGTGAAAGTAAATGCAGACAACTCATTATTTTATGGCCTTACTAAACCACTGTGAAACATGTCAGCAATATAGTGCAAGGTCACGTCACCAGGAAGCGCAAACAACAGTGATCGCAAATCGCCGCAGTGCAAAATTTATTAAAAAGCACGACACAAATGCCCATAGTGTGCATGTAAACATTGCCCAAATACCTACCGCAGTTTTATCACTTAACGAAACAGCTGTCAGCTGACTAACAACGTTAGCGCGTGTCACGATAGACTCGGTGTTTACTTTATTCTAGGTAATATTGAACCATGAATACATCGATTCTTTGCGTGTGTTGTAGTTATATACTACTTCTTTTTTGTAATTTCCGAGACATTAGAGACAAACTAACCTTTCTCACGACAGTCTAAACCCATCTCACGTTCCCCGTCGCATTTCCATCTAGTTACTGTGGGGCCGTGCTCATTACAGGTCGTTTCGATCTGTTATTCTTGAGGCTGCCAATGCAGGGAGCCATCGTGGCGAGACTGGGAGCGCGTCTGGATGCAGTGGCAAGTCTTTACCGTGATCACAATGTTAATTGCTGCAATACATATACATGTATGTTCTTTTGTCTTGTCTTACTTGTTTTATGAGCATCTTTGTTGTTATACTTTATTTAAAGAGGGTATCCCTAGTTACATCTTTTAAA